GTAACACAAATAAAGAAACATTGGAACACTTTTTTTTTGTGTGTGTGTGTGTTTGTGTATGTGTTTGTGTGTGCGTGTATATTTGTGCGCGTGTGTATGTGTATGTGCGTGTATATGTGTGTGTGTGCGTTTGTATGTGTGTATAGGTGTATGTGTGTGTATATGTGTGTGCGTGTGTGTGTTTGCGTGCGTGCGTGTGTGTGTGTGTATATGCGTGTGTGTATGTGTGTGTATATGTGTGTGTGTGTGTTAGTGTGTGCGTGTGTGTGTGTGTGTGTTAGTGTGTGCGTGTGTGTGTGTGTGTGTGTTAGTGTGTGCATGTGTGTGTGTTAGTGTGCGCGTGTGTGTGTGTTAGTGTGTGTGTGTGTGTGTGCGCGCGCGTGCGTGTGTGCGCGCGCGTGCGTGTGTTTGGGCGTGCGCGTGTGTGTGTGTATATGTGTGTGTGTTAGTGTGTGCGTGCGTGTGTGTGTGGGCGTGCGCGTGTGTGTGTATATGTGTGTGTGTGTATATGTGTGTATGTGTGTTAGTGTGTGTGTGTGGGCGTGCGCGTGTGTGTGTGTGTGTGTGTGTTAGTGTGTGTGTGTGTGTGTGTGTGTGTGTTAGTATGCGCGCGTGTGTGTGCGTGCGTGTGTGTGTGTGTGTGTGTGCGTGCGTGCGCGTGTGTGTGTGCGTGCGCGTGTGTGTGTATGTGTGTGTGCGTGTGTGTGTGTGTGCGTGTTTGTGTGTGTATGTCTGTATGTGCGTGTGTGTGTGCGCGTGTGTGTGAGCGTGTGTGTGCGCGTGTATGTGTGTGTGTATGTGTGCGCGTGTATGTGTGTGTGTATGTGCGTGTTTGTGTGTGTGTATGTCTGTATGTGCGTGTGTGTGTGTGTGTGTGTGTGTAAGCAGTGTGACAGTTACACAATGTTCTTATGCCGGTTCATACCCTTACATCAGATAGTTTGAGTAAGATTATATTAAATACAAACTAAATGAATGACAACAGAACCGGGGGCTAGGGTAAGCTGTGTGATGGGTCCCCTGACAGTCATTCATGTTCTGACCAACATCTGGAAGAAACTCAACATCTGCTGTTTATTTGAAATTCAGGGATTAGTCACTCGTAGCGGAAAATGTGTCACAGATCAGAGGGGAGGTAATTGATTTGGACGTAACGTCTCCCTAGAGGGACGAGGCTTCACAGGTCAGCTGTTCTGATTTTGATTACCTTGTCTTTCCATCTCCTAAACCTTTTATTTGGTTTGGCTTTCATTTCCTAACATCTTTTCTGTTTTACACATCTTATTTCTGTTCTTGTCCTGTTTCTCTTAATTCCCTTCAAGTTTTTCCTTTACATTTCATATTGGATTGAAATAAAGTATAATTGTGTAAATGTAGCCTCACACTGTATGGTTTTGTGTGTCTCTGCAGCTCTTCCATGTGGCCTATGTGTTGATTAAGTTCGCCAACTCTCCACGCCCTGACCTCTGGGTTTTAGAGAGATCTACTGACTTTGGACAGACCTACCAGCCCTGGCAGTACTTTGCCTGTGAGTATTAGTGACTGTTGCACTAAATGTGAAATCAACTAAAGAAAAGGAGTTTAGCTCCTTCTCTAGTCTCTGTGCTACATCATCACACCTGAGGGAAGACATTTGGAAGCACTTTATCAAAGAGCTGCCACCTGATATGCTGTGGCAGCTGTAGCTTGGGGTGGGCTGTTGGGGAATTCCAGTAATGTTTGGCAACAGGTCACATCTTGGAGCTTACCTGAAGAGGTGGAAGCATTTGTGGTTTGAGTGTTTGCAGGTAGGTCATGCGGGTCAGAAGAAGGACAATACAAACCAAAGGTCGGTCAACACCAATATAACTAAAAGACTGCAGAGCAGCGGGTAAACACAAACCATTGAGCAGACCAAGCTAACCCAGCACGGTGTAGATCAGAAACTACTAACCTTCCAACAACATTTTACAAAGGTCACTTACTGAAAGTCATAATTATCATAATTTTCGAGTTTGCAGGCAACTGGCATCCTCTCAATCTGTTCATGACACACAGGGGGGCGGGGCTAGTGAGCTAATCATGTGTTACTACTACCAAGTTTTTAACCAGTCGTCCACCATGTTACTATTTCCAAACCCAGGGTTTTTCCTGCATTCAGATTTGCGTGGTGGCCGCCTCCAGCTAATTTTGTGCCGCCCCAGCCTGATTTCACTCTGCCCCCAGCTATATAGATGCTATTTTAACTGCAGTTGCAGCGTTGCACCACTATAGGGGCGCTGTGTCAGCAGCGGTGCACCGAAAAGCACTAAAACCATTGAAGACAAAGATCAAAATGTGCTTTTCTCGCTAGTTGGTACATATCTATGGTTGTGCTACTTACATCCTGACTTTCCCCCATGCTTTTCCATATCAGAGCCACGAAAAAAGCCACGAGACAAGACTACGGCAAGCCGTTGTAGTACATAATTCACAAACGCTTCTACCTCTGAAAATAATTAAAACTGGATTGCCAACCCATACATATTAGATATGCCACCGTTACATTGTTAGCAGCAGAAATTAAATGTTATTACCATTTCCAATACAAATGCATGTTAATGAAATACATTATATTTTACTGGATATATTTATGTGTTATTATGACTAAAATGAGTGTTATTAATACAAACCTAAAATGTCACTGATATGTAGGTCAAATATTAAAAATATTTAAGCTATAAATATCAGATGGGAAAAGGGAACTAAACACCAATCTAATGCATATTATTGAGCCTTTCATAATAAGAGTCTGTTATTTCCGCCTGAAAATGTTGTTTTAGTTCATATTTTTTAGCAGCAAACCAGTTTTGTTTCACTTGAAACGTTGTCAAATGGAATATTCTATTACTCAACAGAAGCTTAGATTAGAACGCTTAACGAAAAAATATTTGGCCTTAAAAAAAGTGATGCAGTTAAATGCACAGAGTATGCATGTGCTGTCGCATGGCCAGGATGGTACCACCTCTGTCTCAATTTGAGCCAGGAAACCCTGTCCAAACCTGTAACAGATCAGAGCCGCTGTACTTTACTGGTCTAGTCACTTTTCTTAGTGAAAAAAGGTTTACTTTTGTTGGTGAGCGGCTTAAATAAGTCCTGTTTTCAGCACGATGACAGCTCAGGTGTACCAGATTCTGGCTGTGGGAACTAGTGTATAACAAATGAACGCATGTCGAATTTTTGCAAACAAAAATAAATATAGAATTAAAGTAAAAATAAAGTATTGATGTGGATTTAGTTTTGAATTGAACACGACTACAAAAACAAGTGCACATGTTTTTAGGGTTTAGGGTTTTTATAAAATGGAAATGTTTATTTTTCTTATTTAATTATATATTTGCTGTCACACGTACACTAAGCTATGGAATAGACGTGAATAAGGGCACTTATCCATACGTCACCTGATTCTCTGTGTTTCTTGTTTCATTATGGGGATGAGATACCTAGCGCCAGGGGTCGACTGGGACCAAAATTTGGCCCTGGCATTTTTGCGAATGGGGGATTGGTCTCTAGCGTGTCTGCTTGCAGGAGGGGGCGATTCCTGTCAGCCAAAGCTGGGCAAGCGGCCCATTTTACAAAGTGGTCCACCGAGACGCTGCCAGATAAGCCAGTCCACCCCTGCCTAGTGCGTTGTCTAGAACCCTTTTTGTTGGTGTATTTAGATGTTTCTGGGGGGGTTTATTCATTATCTCTACTTTCAACTCCCATGTGGACCACCATGTTGTATTTCTGTTTACTAAATGCAGCCACTGCATTGGTCTAAATCGATCACTAGAGCTGGGCATCATTTGAATTTGAACGATTCCAGTTCCGATGCCAATTCCTCATTTCGATTCCGGTTCTGGAAAACTACCGGTCAGTCGTTGCTGGGTGCTCAATGCTTAATTCTAACAATCACGTGACTGATGTTTCACTACTTTGTCATTATTCTGAAAACAAACTAGTACCACTTTAAAACAATGATCATAAAAAGAAATCTGTGCCATTACAAAAGAAGATATTGCTTTTACTTTTGTGCTCAGTAGGAGCGTACTGATCTTAGAAGCAAACATTAGTTTGACCACATAAAACACTATCCTTCAAAAACGTAGGTCATTGCATGTTTTTCTGTTTTGTATGAAAACGTTTAGTTTAGCTGGTGGAAAAGTCCAGGGGCGTGTTAATATAACTGGGGTGTAAGGTCTCCTGGTGCCGCTTTAACTTGTTAGGTTTCATACTGAGCCCCTTCAACACTAGCAGATACACATGTGTGTATTCAATCCTCCTCTGCCACCTGCGTTCAAATATCACAAGGTTTTAGGATGAAGTTACTGTTACTAAATTGTAAACAATCATTTTATTATTAACCACATGCTTTATTCAGCTGGACAGCAGTAGCTCAGGAGGTACAGCAGGTTGTCCAATAATCAGAAGGTTGCAGGTTTGATCCCGTCTCCCTGCTGTTGTGTCCTTGGGAAAGACACCCATCCCACCTTACTTGCTGATGGTGGTCAGAGGGAATGATGGCGCCTGTGCTCAGAAGCCTCACCTCTGTCAGTGCACCCCAGGGCAGCTGTGGTTACATTGCGGCTCATCACCACCAACGTCTCAATGGGTGAATGATTCACTGTAGTGTAAAGCGCTTTGGGCGTTCTATCTGTTAACCAACGTAAAACCAGACCAGGGGGACACATGAAAACTTAGCAACCCTTTGTTCTTCCTTTTTTAAACTTGTTAGATAATGTGTGTGTTTAGTGGTGCGTTCAGGTTATTTCACACCTGCTAAAAGTGTTTTTTCTACATTTATGTCGGCGTCCACGTAGCCTCTAAGAGAGACTGCATTGAGCGCTTTGGACAGAGGACCATCGAGAGAATCAACAGTGATGATGATGTTATTTGTACCACTGAATACTCACGGATCGTACCCCTGGAAAATGGAGAGGTGAGTCCAGTGACATAAAAATATAATGATTAAATATTTTAATGTTTTTGTCCTTTGATGTAGATGGAGAACAATAGATGTTTTACAATCTGCTGTAAGATTCTCGCATTCATGGACCTCACTTTTGTGTTCTTTGCATAGCAAAGTTACCCTCTCTGTGTGTCAGGGTAACTCTGAAGTGCCTTTTTCCCCCTCCCCCTGACTCTATCCTCACATAAACCCTCTTGATCTATTAAGGTAGCGCGACTCGGGTTGCGAATGACCACAGTCACCAATTCTTGTCATGTGTCTATGTATGTCTGATCTCAGAATTGTGTGTACTGAAACTCTAACTTCCCTCTGGGATTAATAAAGTATCTTTGAATTGAATTTAATTGAATTTAGATCTGTGGTTAGTTCTCCAAGACGTTTAGTACAACCTACCAGCCCAGTTCCTTCAGCAACTGTGTTCATGTGTAGCTAGAAGATCTGATGTTGTTTGGAAGGCAGAGGGTTGTCATCCCAGATATTTATCTGATTTAGATTTCTCTTTGGTTCATTCACATTAACAAAAATAGACAGACTGACAGAGACAAGACAGACAGATAGATAGATAGATAGTAGGGGTGTGCCGGTACGCCTGACATCCCGGTTCAGCACGTAACTTGGCTTAATGTTATGGTTCGGTACGTTTTCGGTACAGTAAAATAATTTAAAAAGCTTTTCTTATGTGTAAACAGTAAATTCTTTATTTACAGTTAAATTGAGCATTTACTTGCATTACATTCTGCAAGATATTCCCAGAAAATGAAAATGAACATGTACAATGTTTAACATAAAAATATACTGGTTTCAATATTGGAAAAATGCAGCATCAACATTTGACTTGCTCTTTACAAATAAACCAAGTGCAACTGAAAGAGCTGGCTTAACTACTGAAATAAAGAATTATTTTTGTTCATGCAAGCAAAACTTTTAAGAATATTTAAAGTGCAACTATTCTTGTAATCTCTTGTAAACTCTTTAACGTATAGTCTGAGAATAAAATAGGATAAAAAAATAAATATATGCCAGTTGAAATATTTTTGCAGGAATCTGCAAGATGATTATTGTGCAGTTTTTTTTGAAGAACTTAAAGTGTAAATAAAGGAACAAACGGAATTATTCAGACTGAAATAGGTTAACAAAAACATTCTGCAACATTAGGAGATCCAGCTTGTTTAGGTTCACTCAACCTTCATGTGTTTTGCCAGAAATATTAGTTTGTCCACATTGTCTGCAGAAAGGGCAGGTCTGTTGGCTGTTACCATATCTCCAGCAGCAGTAATAATGATAATGAGGACAAACGGCAATTTTTACCGCGGTTTTGCTCTAAAACATCAGTTCAGTCCCTGTGATCCACTGTTTACCTCCTCTCTCCCTCCTCTCCTGTGGGTTGGAACCCACACCTTCGCGCACCGGTGTGACGTCATCAGAATTCTGCTCGGTTCCGTGATTGAAATATGTTTCCCTACCGCTCCTCACGGAAGCGGCAAAATAACGTTTAGCGCTCATAACAAGCGGATTCTCAGCGCTTTGCTCATAAAACAGACACCATTAGTTCTAGTAACACCTGGGCTCCCAAGGCCTGTTCTGACAGGATGTACGTTACGGGACCCTTAAGGATTCCAGTTGGATGATTGGAGGATTATTTAGGAGGATTGGAATGAACAAACTGGTTTCAGTGGTGAAGGGTTAAATGAGTGAGTGAACCCACTACCAAGGATGAACTCTGCTAGCTTTAAAAACCAGCTGCTCTAAATAAGCATGAAGGTCAGAGAGGAGCTCTAGGATGGACATGGATAAAGGAACTGTAATGTAGAGGTAAAGTAGGGCAGGGCCAACATTAGCAGCTGTCATACGGTCCATCTGAAATGTTTGACTTTCATTTAGCTTGTTATGTGATGTGACAGGTTAGAGCACAGCCTCATGTTAGAGTTTTGTCATGAAAACATTGAGATCCCTCACACACTGATGGCGTCTAAAAATTAACATTTTTGTTTCAAAATAAAGAATCATTTTAATCACAATTGAAACGTACAATCCTAGAAAAACCTCGTCCAATCAGTGTGCATGTCCTGTTCTCACTGATTGGATAGAAATCCTTCCATCAAACTGTGTGTGTGTGTGTGTGTGTGTGTGTGTGTGTGTTCGTCCGTGTGTGTGCGTGCGTGTGTATGTGTGTGTGTGTACATTTGTGTGTGTGTGTGTACATTTGTGTGTGTGTGTGTGCGTGCACACATGAGCGTGTTGTGGTTTTGCACTGATGAAACCATCTTTACGCTGACAAAAATGTATCGGTACCGGTACCGAAGGGGGGGTCCGAGGACCTGGTATTCTGGATCTGTACGGAGGTCTCATCCTGAAGGGTATGTGTGGAGCGACAAAATGGCGTCTCATGTGTTTATGAAACTCCCATCATAGCTTAAGAGCAAAACATCACAACATCACTCAGACTTGTGTAACCCGGTGTAAAACCCAGATTACAATAGAAACATCATGAATAATGAAATATAAATGGAAATTTACAAAACAGTTAAAACAGGATAAAAGACCAAATAAGATAAATAGAAATCTAAGCATTCATACATTCATAGTTAAAAAAAAAGAAAAGAAAAGAAAATACAAACTTCTTGAAAATAGTCAAATAAGAAAAGCTAAAATCGAGTAAATAGAAAGTTCCAGTAAAATTGAGGTAGCAACTGACTAACCAATCACGTGGCTAGCCAGCTATTGCATCAGCCAATAGAATTTAGCACTTTCTGCTGCTCGCCACGCAGCTTTCACTTGCCAGACGCGCTGAGACGCTGACGAGGAAGCACTTGCCGTGAAGAGCAAACTAGGATGCACTAGCAGCCGTTACTTGAAAAACAATTACTCCAAGTTCGGTAAGCGGATAAAATTTTCATGTTTAGGTACTGTTGCTGTGTAATAGTGACAAGTTATTTGTTACGCTGTAGAGATACAGAGGTCCGAAGACCGTGATTTGCCGTTACCCTTGGGAAACCCCGTGTAAACCAAGCTGACTTTTCTTGGTGAGTCTATTAGTGTGTATGTGTGTTAATTCATGCTAAGCTATATTAGCCCCGTTGCTAACCTTCAACAGCCGTTAGAACTAACTTGGCACTTAAATATTAGTTCCTGCAGTTTTACCTTAACTGGAAAGATGGTTATAGATGTGGAGGTGATGAGTGTTTTAAATGACAAATTAAAACACTATTGCTCAGTTTATAAAAATGTGATATGAAAAGAAGTTGAAGCTTATTACAGAATTTCTGGTTGGAAACTTATTTCAACTGATTTATTGGTAATTTAGTGACTTCATTATTTTATGGTACCTACTTGAACTGAATTAATTGTTGTACAACGTGTGATTTAATTGTAAAGGAATTTATTTCATGGGACTAATGCAGATTGTAAACCACAGTTCAGCATTAAAATATTGTATTCTGACCTTCTCTAGGTCAGGTTTTTTATTTTGGATTGATTCACCTCGGTGAATTGAAGATTCTTGTTCCAGTTCTGGATGGCGAGCCCCAGCCCAACCGAACCATCAAGCCGGTGATTAACTGGTCTGTCACTCACCTGAACTTGACTTCAACCCAAGATCTGACTGACAAGGATTTCATGAACATTTGTCAAGCTGACTGACTGACTGAACAAACACAGACTGGTGACATTTCATTTTACTATTTTATTTCATTTTATTTTATTTCACAAAGCGCTTTGTTATATATTAAGTAGGTTATAAATGCTGGTAATAAACCATTGTTATACTTACCTTGCTTGGTCCATGTTGTCACTCCACCACTTGCTCCTCAGAGTCTAGAATCTTTTGATCTGGTCCACTCGGTGTTAAACCACAAAGATTTTCATGTGAACCACCTCTAGTAAAATCTACGTGAGGTTACACTTGCTTCTCCGGATACGAGAGTTCTGATCACAACGTCACTCACACATACACCAATCATCTCACATCTCATTCACACCAAGATCCATTCATCATTTAGAATTTAGAGTTCGTCTTGTTTAAAATTGTTTAGCAATAAATCTTCTTAAATGTTTTAAAGGTGACTCTCTCTTCTCTTGTCTCTCAGTTAATACGAAGTGTTACATAATCCCTGCAATAAAAAGTTCCAATCTTCTGGTTAAAATTTCCCGAAGGTCCATAAGATTGATTTCATATTTCCTATGGAATCTCCTGTCTTATGGTTCATTAAATAGATGTAAATGAACCCCTTACAGATGAATGAATGGGTGGATTGATGATGGACTGCTAGCTGTGTTCTGTGATGGTATGTTTTGGTCTCCCTCTCTCTGCCAGATTGTGGTGTCTCTGGTAAATGGTCGCCCAGGGGCAATGAACTTCTCCTACTCTCCAGTACTGAGGGAATTCACCAAGGCCACCAACATCAGGCTCCGCTTCCTGAGAACCAACACACTGCTGGGACACCTGATGGGCAAGGCCCTCCGTGATCCCACCGTCACCCGCAGGGTAACGTGCTGCTGCAAGCTAATCACCACATCATCACAGAGTCAAGGGCTACAAGAAACTTGAGTTTGTCTTGAATGTACAAATAACAAATTTCACACTGGATTAGCTAGATTTATGATCATTAATTATGCAAACAACAAGACCATTTCATTGGAAGAGACATTAAAGGTAATTTTCTTTTTATCCAGGAACTTTTCTCACTTTAGAAATGTGTGGAGCATCAAGAAAAACCTCATGTTGCTATTCACCAGCACACCAGAATGTATGCTTTAACTTTTAGGAGGTGCTGCCTTTCAGAAAACACTCTTCATGTCCCGCCTATAAGATCTGATCAGCTGTCTTCTGAGTTGGAAAAAGTGTTCAACCAAAAAGCCTTTGGATCAGTAATATAATATGACATTAATATGATAATGAAACAGGAATATAATGACAGTAATATAATAGTATAAAGTTATACAATAATGTAATAGTAATATAAAAGTAATATAACTGTATAATAGTAATATAATTATATAATTATAATATAATAATAAAGTTGTAAAACAATGATGTCATATAGTGATGTTATTACATCATTATATGACATCATTGTTTTACTGTTTTGTACAATAAAAGCAAAAGCTGGAGATCACATTCTGATGTAGCCAACAGGCTACAGGATAGATAGATAGACAGACAGATACTTTCTTGATCCCACAGGAAATTGCCTAATGGCCACTGCTCTCATTCATACAGCACACTCCACCAAAACACAAAATGGCTATAATATAATAATAATATAAGTGACAGAACCCAAACAGTTCACAGCTCGATCTGCTCAATTATTCATGCTTGGGCTGGGAGTTGTGCAATCTAACAGCACGTGGTACAAATAACCTCCTCAGCCTGACTGTGGTGCAGCGCAGGGACAGCAATGCGCTGCTCCACAGACCACTCCTCTCCTTGAAGACCTCGTGTATGGGGTGAGCGGTGTTGTTCTTGATGGCGCTGAGTCTGGACAAAGTCCTCAGCTCAGCCACCTCCTCCACCAAAGCCAAATGATAAATGACCCGCACTTGTATAGCGCCTCTCAGAGTAAGGAGTCCAAAGTGCTTTACACTACATTGTGGCATTCACCCATTCACACACACATTCACACACTGGTGGGGATGAGCTACGATGTAGCCACAGCTGCCCTGGGGCATACTGACAGAGGCGAGGCAGACGAGCACAGGCACCACCGGTCCCTCCGACCACCACCAGCAGGCAACGTGGGTTAAGTGTCTTGCCCAAGGACACAACAGCAAAATTATCTGTCCGGAGCCGGGATTGAACCTGCAACCTTCCGATTACTGGACAACCCGCTCTCCCTGTTGAGCTACTGCTGCCAACTTCAGCCCCACCACAGAGCTGGCCTTCTGTATGATTTTATTCAGCCTGGAGATGTTTCTCTTACTGGTGCTACTCCAGCACACCGTAGAATAGGAGGGCACTTGCTACTACTGACTGGTAGAGCTTGTGCAGCAGCCTAGAGCAGATGAATGACTGCAGCCTCCGAAGAAAGTACAGCCTGGATTGGCTTCTCTTGTAAAGCTGGTCAGTGTTGGAGGCCCAGTCCAGCTCATTGTCCAACAACACTCCCAAGTATTATCTGGTGGCACAACCTCAACGCTGTCTCCCTCTATGAGCACTGGCTGATGTCTAGGAGTTTTCCTCCTGAAGTCCAGAACCATTTCCTTGGTCTTCTGAACATTCAGCTGGTTCCTCTTGCACCAGGCCACAAAGTCCTCCACCAGCCGCCTGTACTCCCCCTCCTCAGAATTTGTCTTCTCAAAGAGGTTTAAAGTTTACTTTCACTTATTTAGTTTCACAACAAAGGATCAATAACGTGTGTCCTGTTGCTCTCTTGACAGTATTATTACAGTATTAAAGACATCAGTATTGGAGGACGCTGTGTGTGTAATGGACATGCTGAAGCCTGCAACGCCAAGGACCCCAATGACCCTTACAAGTAAGAATTTTCATTTTCTAAACTCTCACATGAACACAGGTCCACACAACTCCATCTGAAAAACAATGTTGCCTTGGAAACCTTACAGCAGCTCACGAGTCACTTGTCATCTTTGGCCATTAACCCTCTGAGTCTCTCTGTTCCACTTGTGCCGGTTAGGGTTACGGTTGGGTTAGGGTCGGGTCATGCACATTTCATTTGATTTTGTTTGTTTAATGACACATCTGGAAGAATGCATAGAAATGGCGGAAAGCACCTGGGGCCTCTTGCCTGCAGAATAAGCTTGAAACACCTCTCAAAGACATTCTCCAGAAGGCTTCTGCTCTGTCTTCTCCATCCCCAGTGAGTCGTGGAGGATGGCTGCTTATACCGAGCCAGGATCCTCTGGAGGTTTGTTAAAAGGGAGTTTTCCTCTCCACTGTCGTAGCATGCTTGCTTAGTATGAGGATTGCTGTAAAGACTCTGACACTAGTCAGTGACTTGATGCAATTTGCTGGGTTCCTTATATAGGAACCGTGTTACTGATTGGCTTAATGACCTGACCTGTGTTGGAATGTTTACTGTGTGAAGGTCCTTGAGACGACTCTTGTCCTGATTTGGCGCTTTATAAATAAACTTGAAGTGAATTAACCATTTCACCTGTCACTAACGCTGACATCTACCCGGCATAAGAAACTAATTTCACTGGTTTACCCCAGTGAATGAGAGGGTAGCCTCCCTCTACCTACGTGTGGGGGGACGGGTTCTGACTATGGTCTGTGCTTATGCACCAAACTACAGTTCAGACTACCCACCCTTTTTGGAGACCTTGGAGGGGGTGCTGGAGAGCGCTCCTCCCGGTGACTCCCTCGTTCTGCTGGGGGACTTTAACGCTCACGTGGGCAACGACTGTGAGACCTGGAGAAGTGTGGTTGGGAGGAACGGCCCCCCTGATCTGAATTCAAGTGGTGTTTAGTTATTGGACTTCTGTGCCAGTCATGGATTGTCCATAATGAACACCATGTTCATACATAAAAGTGTCCATATGTGCTCTTGGCACCAGGATACCTTAGGCCGCAGCTCGATGATCGACTTTGTTGTTGTTTCATCGGACCTGCGGTGGCATGTTTTGGACACCCGGGTGAAGAGAGGGGTGGAGCTGCCAACTGACCACTACCTGGTGGTGAGTTGGCTCAGATGGTGGGGGAGGGTGCCGGTCAGACCAGGCAGGCCCAAACGTATTGCGAGGGTCTGCTGGGAACGTCTGGCAGAGTCTCCTGTCAGAAGGAGCTTCAATTCCCACCTCCGACAGAACTTCCAAAAAGTTCCGGGGGAGGCGGGGGACATTAAGTCTGAACGGACCCTGTTCCATGCCTCCATTGTTGAGGCGGCCGACCGGAGCTGTGATCGCAGGATCTTCGGTGCCTGTCGTGGCAACCCCCGAACCCGCTGGTGGACACCGGCGGTTAGGGTGCTGTCAAGCTGAAGAAAGAATCCTATCAGGTCTTTTTGGCCTGTCGGACTCCAGAAAATGACCAGTCCAAGCGGAACATGGCTCGGGTGGTCGCCAAGACAAAAACCCGGGTATGGGAGGAGTTCGGTGAGACAATGGAGCAAGACTTCCATATGGCTTCGAAGAGATTCATGTCCACCATCCAGCGCCTCGGGGGGGGGGGGGGGGGGGGGGGTAGTGCACTACCAGCACTATCGATAGTGAGGATGGTGTGCTGCTGACCTCTACTCAGGACGTTGTCGATCGGCGGACACAATACTTGAAGACCTCCTCAATCCCACCGACACGTCTTCCAGTGAGGAAGCAGAGTCTGGGGACTTTGGGTTGACCTCTCAAATCTCTGGTGCTGAGGTCACTGAGGTGGTTAAAAAGCTCCTCTGTGGCAAGGCTCCAGGGGTGGATGAGATCCGCCCGGAGTTCCTAAAGGCTCTGGATGTCGTGGGGCTGTGTTGGCTGACGCGGCTCTGCAGTATCCCGTGGACATCGGGGGCAGTCCCACTGGACTGGCAGGCTGGGATGGTGGTCCCCTTATTTAAGAAGGGGGACCGCAGGGTGTGTTCAAACTACAGAAGGATCACACTCCTGAGCCTTCCTGGTAAGGTCTATTCAGGGTTCTGGAGAGGAGGGTCCGTTGGATTGTTTAACCTCAGATTCAGGAGGAGCTATGTGGTTTTCGTCCTGGCCGTGGAACACTGGACTAGCTCTATACCCTTAGGGGGATCCTGGAGGGTGCGTGGGAGTTTGCCTAACCAGTCAAGGTCAAGGTCACATTTATTTCTAAAGCACACTTATTATTGCTTCCGCAACCCAAAGTGCTTCACAACACAGAAGATAAAATCGCAAACAAGTATAACTAAAAACCATAAAACCATAAAAATCAGCAAGTTAGGATAAAAACAGCATTACATCACACAATTATAAAATCAATAAAAAGGAAAAACAATGACAATGACAAAAATAAAACCATCCTACATAAAAGCCAGGTTGAATAAATGAATTTTAAGCAAGGACTTAAAGACATCCAGACTTTGTGAGGTCCTGATCTGCAGAGGAAGACTGTTCCAGAGTGTAGGACCGGCCACAGAAAAAGCCCTATCTTCTCTCGTCTTTAGGCGAGCCTTTGGAACTGATAATAAAAACTGTGAACCCGACCGCAAATTCCTGGCAGGAGTGTAGGGTGACAATAAATCATCTATATAAGGAGGGGCCAGACCATAAAGTGATTTATAAACAAAAAGCAACAATTTAAACTGAATCCTGTGATGCACTGGCAGCCAGTGAAGGGAAGCAAGCACTGGAGAGATGTGATCATCTGTACCTGTTAAAAGGCGGGCTGCTGCATTTTGCACCAGTTGCAAGTGGTTTAAGGACGAATGCCCTAATCCATAGTACAGGGAATTGCAGTAATCTAGTTGGCAGGAGACAAAGAGATGAACAACATGTTCAAAGACAGTTTCCAGCAAATAGCACTTAACCTTAGCAAGTTGCCTCAAGTGATAAAAACCAGACTGGACCACTGCGCTTATCTGTCTTGTCCAATTTAAACAAACCATCCATAAAAAAAAACCAGGTTTTTCATATGAGGCTTTACAAAATCCGAAAGGGAACCAAGTGGGCTCACCGCACCCTTAAACAGGTCTCCACTGCCAAAAACTAAAATCTCTGTCTTCAGGTCGTTCAATTTCATTAAATTAATTGACATCCATTGCTTCAAATCAGCTACGCAGGCCATTAAAGAAACATCTGAATCCGGGATGAGCTGGAGATATATCTGAAGGTCATCAGCAAAGCAATGAAAAGTAATGTTGTGTCTGGCGAAGAGAGAGGACAATGGTAAAATATACAGTGAGAAAAGTGTTGGCCCTAAAATGGAACCTTGTGGAACACCACAAGTCACATGTGCTGGTGGTGATGTAAAAGTTCCCAAGTTCACAGAAAAAGACCTGTCCTGTAGAAAAGACTGAAACCAATCAAGCACTGTGTCCCTTATACCAACACAGGACTCTAATCGAGACAACAGAATATCATGATCAGTGGTGTCAAATGCAGCAGATTAGTCTAGCAGCATTAAAGCAGCTGAGTTGCCAGAATCAGTGATCATTAATAAGTCATTCACCACTCGTAGAAGTGCACTTTCAGTGCTATGCCGTGCTTTAAACCCCGACTGAAATTTGTCTGAAATGTGATGTATGGACAGATAATCCTGTAGCTGTGCATGGACAACTTTCTCCAGAACTTTTGATAAGAAACTAAGTTTGGAAATAGGTCTGTAATTAGATAGGCAAGTTGTGTCCAGGCTTGGCTTCTTTAAAAGGGGATTCACTATAGCCTGTTTAAAACACAGCGGAACACACCCTGAGAGAAGAGAACAGTTAACTAGGCTGTGCACAGCTGAAGCAACACGGTCAAAGTCTACATGTGTTTTGTGGATTTGGAGAAGGCGTTTGACCACGTTCCTCGGGGGGCCCTGTGCGGGGTACTCCGGGAGAATGGGGTACCAGGCTTTCTGATAAGGGTTGTTAGGTCCCTGTATGACCGGTGTCAGAGCTTGGTCCGCATTGCCGGCAGTAAGTCGGGCTCGTTCCCAGTGAGAGTTGGACTCCGCCAAGGCTGCCCTTTGTGACCGATTCTGTTGGTGTGGAGGGCATCCGTTTTGGTGGCCTGAGGATCAGGTCTGTGCTTTTTGCAGATGATGTGGTCCTGTTGGCTTCATCAGAACGTGATCTTCAGCTTTCACTGGAGCGGTTCGCAGCCGAGTGTGAAGCAGTTGGGATGAGAATCAGCTCCTCTAAATCTGAGACCATGGTCTTGATTCAGAAAAGGGTAGAATGCCTTCTCCGGGTCAGGGATGAGGTCCTGCCCCAAGTGGAGGAGTTTAAGTATCTCGGGGTTTTGTTCACGAGTGAGAGAAAACTGGAGCGTGAGATCGATAGGCGAATTGGTGCTGCGTCTGCAGTGATGCGGGCGTTGTACCGGTCTGTCGTGGTGAAGAGAGAGCTGAGTCAGAAGGCGAAGCTCTCGATTTACCGGTCGATCTACGTTCCTACCCTCACCTATGGTCATGAGCTTTGGGTAGTGACCGAAAGAACGAGATCACGGATACAAGTGGCTGAAATGAGTTTTCTCCTAAGAGTGGCTGGGCTCTCCCTTAGAGATAGGGTGAGAAGCTCGGTCATTCGGGAGGGGCTCGGAGTAGACCCGCTGCTCCTCCATATCGAGAGGAGCCAGTTGAGGTGGCTCGGGCATCTGGTCAGGATGCCTCCTGGACGGCTCCCTGGTGAGGTTTTCCGGGCACGTCCAACTGGGAGGAGACCTAAAGGTAGACCCAGGACACGGTGGAGGGACTATTGGGCCATTCCCATCTGTACCGGGTCGGCCCGGGCCGGGTAGCCCCAGTCGGCCCCAGCCTGGCCCGGTTGATTCCACACATCCTTGCCTTAAGCCCATGTGGGCTGATTCTACCCACCAATCAGAGGCTTGCTCTAATGGAAGGTGTGAATTTTCTGTCAGCAGTGAGTGTGTTGGCCCTGGTCGGCCTGAAGCAGACCCCCTCAAGAAGAGGGCTGAGAATGAGCCTTGGTTGGCCCGGAAAAATACCAGGCCACCTAGATATGTAAACAAACTATGCTACCCGGCCCGGGCCGACCCGGTACAGATGGGAATGGCCCATATGTCTCTCGCCTGGCCAGGGAACGCCTTGGGATTCCCCCGGAGGAGCTGGCCCAAATGGCTGGGGAGAGGGAAGTCTGGGCCTCTCGCCTTAGGCTACTGCCCCCGCGACCCGACTCCGGATAAGCGGATGAAAATGGATGGATGGATGGATAAAATATTTAGTTGTTTTAAAACTTCTTGGTTATGATTTAATTAATTTCATACTAATTAACAAAACAGTAGCAAGAAAAGTAAAATAATATTTAATATTGTGGTAAATTTGACCTAAAAATCTATTCATTGTTTTTGGCATAGTTCTATGATTACAGCTTAAAATCGTGTATGATCTTACCTTTATGTGTTTATGAGACCAGGAACCTGACATCTCCAGGATCACTCGGGTGTAAAAATCATTCTATAATGTCTCCTGTTCTGACTGTGAATCCATCCATCCATTCTATTCCCCTTATCTGGAGTCGGGTTGGTGGCAACAGACTAAGTCGAGAAGCCTAGACTTCCCTCTTCCCAGCCACTTGGGCCAGCTCCTCCGGGGGAATCCCAAGGCGTTCCCCGGCCAGGCGAGAGACATAGTCCCTCCACCGTGTCCTGGGTCTACCTTTAGGTCTCCTGCTTTACATGTCGTGAAACCTCACCAGGAAGGCGTCCAGGAGGCATCCTGACCAGATGCCCGAGCCACCTCAACTGGCTCCTGTTGATGTGGAGAAGCAACGGATCCACTTCGAGCCTCTCACCCTACCTTTAATGGAGAACTCTGGCCAACCTGCTGAGAAAACTCATTTTGGCCATTTGTATTCACACTTTTGTTCTTTCATAGCTCGTGACCATAGATGAGGGTAGGAACGTAGATCCACCAGTTATTCGAGAGCTTCACCTTCTGGCTCAGCTCTCTTTTCACCACAACAGACCAGTAAAGCACCCGCATCATGGAAGATGCAGCACCAATCCGCTTCTCAATCCCTCACTTCAGCTTTCCCTCACTCGTGAACAAGACCCCAAACAACTCCTCCACTTGGGGCAGGACCTTAACAGTGACCCGGAGAAGGCATTCTACCCTTTTCTAACTTAAGACCATGGTCTTGGATTTAGAGGAGCTGATTCTCATCCCAGCTGCTTCACACTTGGCTGCGAACCACTCCACCGAAAGCCTGAGATCACATTCTGATGAAGCCAACAGGACCACATCATCTACAAAAAGCAGAGACCTGATTCTCAGGCCACCAAAACGGATCCCCTCAACACCTTGGCTGTGCCTAGAAATCCTGTCCATAAAGGCTATGAACAGAATCGGCGACAAAGGGCAGCCTTGGTGGAGCTCACTCTCACTGCCGGCAATGCGAACCAAGCTCTGGCACAGATCATACAGGGACCTAACAGCTCGTATCAGAGGGCCTGGTACCCCATACTCCTGGAGTACCCCCCACAGGGGCCCCCGACAGATGCAGTTGAACGTCTTCTCCAAGTTCACAAAACACATGAAGATTGGTTGGACAAATTCCCATGCACCCTCCAGGACCCTCCTAAGAGTATAGAGCTGGACCAGTGTTCCACGGCCAGGACGAAAACCACATTGCTCTTCCTGAATCTGAGGTTCGACAATCCGCTGGACCCTCCCCTCCAGAACCCCTGAATAGGAGTGTGATCCCCCTGTGGTTAGAACACACCCTGCAGTCCCCCTTTTTAAATAGGGGACCACCACCCTGGTCTGCCAGTCCAGTGGAACTGCCCCCGATGTCCATGCAACATTGCAGAGCCTTCAGGGCTGACATCCAGAGCCTTGACGAACTCCGGGCAGATCTCATCCACCTCCGGAGTCTTGTCATCAATGAGCTTTTTGACAACCTTAGTGACCTCAGCCCCAGAGATTGGAGAGTCCAACCCAAAGTCTCCAAACTCTGCTTCGTCACTGGAAGACGTGCCAATGAGGAGGTCTTCGAAGTATTCCGCCCACGATCTATAATGTCCCGAGTAGAGGTCAGCAGCACACCGTCCCCACTATAAACAGAGTTGGTAGCGCACAGTTTTCCCCTCCTGAGGCACCGGATGGTGGACCAGAATCTCCTCGAAGCCGTGGTGAAGTCTTGCTCCATGATCTCACCAAACCCCTCCCACGCCCAGGTGTTTGCCTCCGTGACCACCTGAGCTGCGTTTCGCGTGGACTGCCGGTACCTGTCAGCTACCTCTGGAGTCCCACAGACCAAAAAGACCTCACTGAAAATCCAGTTTAAATAAATCCTTCAGTTTTGAGCCATAAATCTTCTATGATGAGTGGTTCCTGTTCCACCTCATCCCAAAGAGTCTGGACTGGACTGAAATGTGATGACTCTGGAGTCCAGTGAACTCAGGGTCATGTTCTAGAAACCAGTTAGAGATGATCTGAGCTTTGTGACATGGTGCATTATCCTGCTGTAAGTAGCCATCAGTTGTTAGCCGACAGGAGAGACACCTAGTGTGGTCTTCTGCTGCTTGAGTTCATCAGGAGCAGCGGGTGGTTCTGCAGACCTTGGTAGGAACCAGAGCTGATCTGAGCTGCTGTTGTCCGTTCATCATGTAGAGCCAATCTGACCAGTCTCCTCTGATTTCAACAAAACATTCTAATCTGCACACCTGCCGCTCACTGGACAGTTTATGTTTTGGACCATTGTCTGTACCGCAGGTATGCCCTAACCCTAAGGAGGCTGGGTCACAGTAAATGTTCAAACTTATCTCGTGAGTTCTAATTTGTGCATCCCTAATCATGAGAACACAAGAGGAGATGTTCTGCAGGAACAGCTAAGTAGAGTTGTTGTTAAAATATGTTTCCTCTCTGGCTGCTCTCACAGTTTTGGTGAGAAAACACATCTGAGGGGCTCCAGATTAACCTAAACAAAGCTTTGGAAAGCTGGACACAGCCTAGCTGTGTGTTTGACAGAATGACAGAGGCTTAGAGGGGTAAACATACCTTTTGTTTGAAGCCCACTTTCATAACATCAAAGCTTGAATCACAGAGGCAAGATGAGGCCTGTTGTCATACTTGAAGGAATGCTGAATGTGAAAGAGCCCTGATGAGTGCTTGTGTCTGGGAGGTGGAAGTGGCTCAGCTGTTATTATCCTAATTGCAGTGTGTGTGGATGAGTGTGTGTGTAGAGCTTTACTGCTTCTTCATGCTGCCTGCATAAACACACACACACACACACACACACACACACACACACACGAGAGCGTGATATTGCACTGCAAGGTGGCATCTGAAGCACTTTGCTACAGCTCAGTAAACGTATTTGTTTTTGTCTGCAGACTGCAGTGTGACTGTCAGCACAACACATGTGGTGTGTCCTGTGACCAGTGTTGCCCTGGATACCACCAGTTACCATGGAAACCTGCCACAACCTACAGTGCCAATGAGTGTGAACGTGAGTGGACTGTAGTACTGATACTGACACACACCATGTTTAAGTGGTAGTAATCTGGCTCACACACACACACACACACACACACACACACACACACACACACACACACACACACACACACACACACACACAGTGTGATCACTGAAACCCGTGAGGAATATTTTTGATGCGTTGCTTCAACTGCATTGGTCTGATGAGGCTGGGCAGACACAGCAGCAACTCTGAATGAACACCAGACAGGAACAATGCTCTGCAAACAGACGAGTCGGGGTAGGGATGGTTACCCAGAATGCATTGCAGCACATTTGAACACTTAGTGCATCAGCTCAAATAGCACAAACAGCTCCAACCGTTGTGGTGGAGGGCTCAATTCAATTCAGTTTATTTACAGACGTGGACAAAATATAGGTCCGTCTCAATAATTAGCATATTGTGATAAAGTTCATTATTGTCTGTAATGTACTGATAAACATTAGACTTTCATATATATTAGATTCATTACACACAACTGAAGTAGTCCAAGCCTTTTATTGTTTCTAATATTGATGATTTTGGCATACAGCTCATGAAACCCCAAAACTCCTATCTCAATAAATTAGCATATTTCATCCGACCAATAAAATAAACGTGTTTTAATATAAAATTCAATTCAATAATTTTCACTCAAAGTTTAAATTTTCAAACTTCAAATCAGAATATAAGCATTCGAGTGAAATAGGGGGAGGAAGAAGAAAAAATCTTATATGAAGTCAACCTTCAAATAATTATGTTCAGTTATGCACTCAATACTTGGTCGGGAATCCTTTTGCAGAAATGACTGCTTCAATGCGGCGTGGCATGGAGGCGATCAGCCTGTGGCACTGCTGAGGTGTTATGGAGGCCCAGGATGCTTCGATAGCGGCCTTAAGCTCATCCAGAGTGTTGGGTCTGGCGTCTCAACTTTCTCTTCACAATATCCCACAGGTTCTCTACGGGGTTCAGGTCATACCATGGTCAGTAAACCATTTAGCAGTGGTTGTGGCCATAAACCGACTCCACACACACAAACAACACTCAACACTTTGGTCCTGAACCTTGGTTTTGTAAATTACAGCCTTTTAACTCAAAACAGCTCTGTCTCTTTTCAAATTTCATTTGAGTATGTCTTGGTAGCATTTTCTTATGAGCTTCATAAACCAATTTTAGAATATTGTAATCAACTAGATCCCCATGTGTGAGCACTTTCATCTTGGCGAATAATGGACCGGTGGGAGTTCTACAACTACCGATTCTTATGGCTTGTTTTTGTAAAACCAAACCCGTACGAGTCATGAACTGACATGATGCTTTGTTGCTGCTGCTGAAGCAATTCCCTGACCGACTCTGGTTAATATCTGGACCGTAAAAATGGGTGAAGCTAAATTCATTTATTCAGTGATGACATGTTTGACGAGGACGGATGTCAGCGTGGCGCTACAGGCTGACACTGTTCTGTGGGAGGGGCGTCTGTGTGGGGGTCACATGTTATGAAAGCTGCAGTTATATTTAACAAGGGGCAGCACGGGTCTCAGAGGCAGAACGTTCACCGTGGTGTGAGGAAGACTGGAGATGAAGGCAGAGTCACACGGGTAACTGTTGAGTCTGGATGTTTCAGAAACAGGGAGGATGTTTTAAAGCTGCTGATAGTGCTGAGGAGGGGCTGTAGTCGGTAGAAACATTCCCAGCACAGCTGATACACGCTGATGTACCAGAGTGTGGCAGCATTCACCCGGCGTCGCACAGCTGCAGGGCATCAGATCAAAACACAACTATCAGCGTTTCACCAGCTCTGTGTGAAGAACGACGACGCTTGTTTGCCTTTATCTCAGGCCTGTGGTGTTCCTGGGACCAGCTCCCTTTGGACCTCTCAAGTCCCTACACCATCTTCCTTTGGTCGTGGATCACAGCAGCCACCATGAATAAATCATGGAGGCGAAATGTCCTCAGGTCAAATAGTAGACGCAGCTGAGAGATGCTGGGTTTGTTTGCTTGGACTCTTTCTTCTCCCTCCATCAATCACAGTAGTCTCGCGTCCTCAAGATGGACTTAAATGGACATCAGACATTCAACTGTCCACTTACATCCATCCAAGGACTACAGGACATACTTTGGAGGACAAGAATGTTCACTTTGTGGAACAAAAGGAAATTGTTAGTAGAAAAAACCAACAGCAAACACACCAGACACGGAAGTGCGACGATGCGCAGCAAAGCGCCGTGGACCGACGAGCGCCCCATTGACAGACGCTCTCGATCACAACTGTCGCAAGCCAAAGGGATCACTAATCGCCCACTTTTGAAAATGCTAGGATATTTAACGGCGTCTAAATCGCCGTCTTTAAACTATAAATGCCGAATAAAGCGGCGAAAATCCCTTCAGAACGCCGTATTGCACGCCGTCTTCATGTAGTCTTTCAGAGCGCCGTAAAAAACGACGTTTTTTTCTAGTCATTGAACGCCGAACTGCAGGAACTTGTAGCGCGTCCTCAGAACGGCGTAATAGACGGCGTTTTTGACAGCACAAAATGCCGCTTTTTACGGCGTTCTGTGACTTTCACAACAACGTAAAAGACGGCGTTTTGCAGGCCACGCCCAAAGGTTTTCTTAGCCACTTATTTTAAACTTTGATCGCCCAATCCACGATGAGAAAATACAGACAGTACTAGTTCATCCTAGATGCTATTTCCTGGCTTCCTGAAGATGCTATTTTATGCTTAAATTCACCAAAATGACCTCATATATAGTACTGATTGTTGCATTAGCTCATGTTGAACATGATTGTATTACTGCTACTTGCATTGATATTAATGAAACGAAGACACGATCTGTCCCTATTAAATCAACAATAATAAAACACGGACTGATGTGTGTGATCAGACCTGTATCAGTTGGATGTATTCACCACTAGGGGGCACCAACACGTAAGCTGGGGGGGGGGGGGTCAAAGTGTGTTTTTGTTTGTTATGAATGTAAAATGACTTTCATCATATTTAAATTTTCTGATTATGTGTAAAATAAATGAAAATAAAGTAACAAAATACCTAATGGAACCTGTTATTTACATATCTGATACTTTTTCATGATCGGAAATTCAAGATTCAAGATTGTTTAATTGACATTGCACAGGTGTACAACAAAATTGTCTTTGCGCTTGTGTGTGTGTGTGTGTGTGTGTGTGTGTGTGTGTGTGTGTGTGTGTGTGTGTGTGTGTGTGTGTGTGTGTGGATGCATGACCCTGTTGGCAAGAGGCTGAAAACATGACAGTTACATTTGTTTTAGCTACACAGACATGTTATTTACAACATGACAGAAGGCAGTTACAACACAGGGAATCTGTCTCAAGGGCTCTCAGTCCGGGTTTAAATTGTCCTTATATGTTACTACATCCTTATGAGCTGTGTTTAGTGAGTGCAAAGACAACTTTGTTGTACACCTGAGCAAGGGATTTTCACTGCTTTTTTCGGCATTTTTAGTTTAAAGACGGCGATTTAGACACCGTTAAATAACCAAACGTGCTCAAAAGAGGGCGACTTGTGATCCCTTTGGCCTGCGATACACATCAGCTGCGAAGCATCACAGAGTCTCGCGCCGTGCAGCGATCGTTTCGGCATAAGCTCTATTTTTTCGTGACCCGCGTCGATTCTGGCGGGAAATCAAACCAAAGAGGAAGAGGCCGGCCAGTAAATTTAACACAATAGAAGAAAAGTTTCAAAATAAAACACCGCGATTGATAAATGTGATCATTTTTGTGTATCTAAACAGACTAGAGCATTGAAAATGACACACACTCCTGTGGATAAAAAAGTGTTTCCATAATTTTAAATGCAGCTTTTACAGCAAAAGATACATTTAATAAATGTGAATACGGTTTAGAGAACAGTAGGCGTGAGCAGAAGCACGTGTTGAAATTTCTTGCCTGATGTGAACAGAGGAGGAGCACACAGCACACAGGTTCTGATCCACTTCGCGGCGCTTGGCAGCTGGTGTGTTCCGGGCGTTAGTGTAACGTGGACACAGGGTCCGAACTACAGATGTATATATGCTCTGGATCAGCTTTTGAAGAGAATGGACCTACATTTCACAGCCCACAGCCAACAACCTTCATCTCTGTCTGTTCTTTAGAGGACAGTTTGATTCATCAGAAAGGAGACAAACATCTGCTGAAACGATGCAGAAATGCGTCAGTAATCATTTCTTACCAGGAACTGAACATGTTTTGTTTCCTTTAGCGTGCAACTGTCACCGTCACTCATTTGAGTGTTTCTACGACCCTGAGGTAGAGCGAAGGAGAGCCAGCGTGGACATTCACGGACACCATCGAGGAGGAGGAGTCTGTCTGAACTGCCAGGTAGTTGACGCTCACCAGGTGTGTCAGTGTGATGTAGTGCAATGTTAGTGAGCTCTGATGTAACCCCCCAGCATCACACCACGGGAGTCAACTGTGAGCGCTGCATCCCCTCCTACTACAGGTCACCTGACTTCTCCATCGACTCCCCTCTGGCCTGCTCCCGTAAGAGTCCGACACACAAACACACACAAACGTTTGGCTTCCTGCTCATTATGTCCTGTACTGCGCCCCCCCCCCCCCCCCCCCCCCCCCCCATCCTAACACACACAGCCTGTAACTGTGAGTCAGACTTTACGGACGGTACATGTGAGGACCTGACGGGTCGCTGCTTCTGCAAACCAAACTTCACCGGGGAAAACTGTGACTCCTGTGCCAGCGGCTTCATCAACTTCCCTGAGTGCTACAGTGAGTCAGAACCATCTGGTGAAAACACACAGGAAGTGTTAGAGCATTACTAGCATGCAGCAGCGAGATGACACACACCACAGTGCTGTGTGATCTGATGGTGTTGTGGTGTAGTACAGTAAAGTGTTCACCACAGGAGTCGTGCAGCGTGAACGCAGCACAGTGAGCTGCTTTAGCTGAAGCCACAGCCTTTATGGTTGTGTGCAGTTCATGACTTCTGTCTGTGGGTGAGACTTTTGTCCTGTCACACAATCCGTGTGGGAAGAAAACCTCTTGTGTTATTTTGTTTATTGTGTGTTCTTGTTTTGAGAACTGTCTGCATCGTTATCAGGCATCCCCACGTATCCCAACAACAACGGTGAGGCCAAACCTGCTGGAGAGATCATCAGTAAGTTTTCCTCTCTAACGATTACATTTACATTTTATTAATGAACCATAAAATGTCAGATTCCATAGGAAATATGAAATCAGTCCTATGCACCTTTGGATAAACAAATTAAAACTAGACTAACTTTAACACAAGGTGTATGATGTAACTAAGGTGAAGCAAGACTGAGGACGGTGTATGTGTGAAATGTTGTTCAGAACCAGCAAATCCGGAGAAACGATTAGTTCTGATGGGAGCGAAGATGATGTTTTGCGCTAAGCTTTGGTTTGGACATTTACAACACACTCTGAGACGCCTTTCTGCTGGCCCACGTACCCTTGGCGGAAGTCCCCGTTAGATCAGGAATGTCGAGGTCCAGCTTGACCTTCTCTGGAACCGAAGCCTGTAGGAAAAGCAGCAGTTGCCGACCAGACCAGTCTTGAGACACTTCCGGGTCACGACAGTTTTATTTGCATCTAGCAAGACCCAAACCTGGGTCATGATGGTTCAGCTTTTATTCTGAAAGGAACCGTTGCAGTGGGTGGAACAGCAACAGATTTTATCCAGCTTGTCGTTGGTTCTTTCGGCTGAAGAGGAAAGTTACGGATTGGCCACTCCGACAACTTCTCTAGAACGCTTTGAACTGGCGTTAAAGATGGCGTGGGCATAGTTTTGTACTTCGGATGTTTTGGTTTATGGTCGAATGAAAAAGGGACAGATTTACCAAGCACCACCAAAACCACACCCCCTTCAGACCTGGAAGATTCTGATTGGATCAGTAAAAGCAATGTGTCATGTGGCTTAACCTTTCGTGAGTCTCTAGTGGAAATGTTTGAAGTTATATTACTTATTATATTCTGTAGGATTATAATAAAGTAATTCATATTTTGATTTCACAGATTGGTCACATCTCATTATTGACTAACACTTAGTTTGACTAGCTTATTAAAAATAGAGTTCTTTGATTTATTAAAAAGAGAGAGTCCATTCTTCATTCTTCTCTTGAGCTGGAAAGGAAGCAGTTTAGAGCAAATGCATGAGACCTTGAGGCCATATCTCATGCAGACTAGTTCTTCCTGAGGAGAGGGGCTAAATAACCTTCGGTGGAACCGCTCCTTCATCAGGTTACACCTCACGACACTCTCTGTAATGCTGCTGCGGCTCCACCAGTAAACCCAGAGCTGTTCTGGTCATTACACCAGCACCACCATCACTTCTAGTTTGGTTCTAGGTTTGTTCTGTATATTAGATTCATAGGATGACATCACGTATGCATAATAAAGGCAGCGTTACATCTGGCTCCATTTAAACGTCACACCTCTGCTCCAGGTTAATGGGAACACTGGGACGAGACCAGTTACTTTCAGATTCCGTCTGTTATAAAATAACAAAACATGTCTCCATGAGGGAGAGGAGTTCCTTCCTCCAGAACCAGCCGGCAGCTGGAAGCATCTGGATATCATGAGCAAACTCACACATTTGCAGTGTTGCCTGGCAACAGGGAGACTACAAGTTTAACAGCTGGATGCAACTCATCTGCATGGAGTTAGCGCAGTCTCCTCGTTCACACGTGCACGTAAAGTCAGGATGATTAGCAAGGACCTGTCCACACACACACACACACACACACACACACACACACACACACACACACACACACACACACACCTGCAAATAGACACCAGCTTTGACCCTCACAGAAACACTAGATAGCATGAATGAATGAATGAATGAATCTTCATGTTCTACTTCAGAAGTCGAGTCTACAGAGATGTTAGGACCCAGCAGAAGTGATGTGGTTCTGCTGATCTGAAACCGGAGCAGGAGGCTCTGGTGGGAACACGACCTTGGACTGATGTGTGTTTTGTTGGAGATATTTTCTCAGCTCCACCTCAGTAGGAGTCAGATGTTCCAGAGAGTTCTGGGAGCACCTGCTGCTGGAGGAGATAAGCTGGACTAAAACCAGTTTGGTCTAACAGAAGTTGTGGGTTGAGTTGAGCGTTCTTACTGGGAAACTGCTCATCCACAGCTTTGCTGGTTTGAAGTTTCGTTTAATCCCAAAATAAAAGGTTTTTAGTTCAATTCAGACTTGAGACCAGAACTCGTTTTACTTCAATAATCCATCTGTGTGTTTTCAACACTTTGAATTTGGTGTCAGACGTGGGAAACAACTGCTGCGGTGAAAGCTAGGCAGACGACCATACATCTGTCTGCTCTCCATCCCCAGACTGTGAGTGCAGTGCAGCCGGCACGGTGGACAACTCCTGCAGACCAGACCCTCAGACTCAGACCTGCATCTGTAAACCTGGGTTCAGCGGAGACCACTGCGACACCTGCGCTCCGGGCTTCCACGGACTCAACTGCCAGGGTGAGGGGTGGGCAGACGGATGGGCCCCCGCATGCTGCCTCAGCCCTTACATAGCCTACAGATGAGAAGTTTCTCCAGAGACATGAACTCCTGTGTGTGTGTGTGTGTGTGTGTGTGTGTGTGTGTGTGTGTGTGTGTGTGTGTGTGTGTGTGTGTGTGTAGCCTGTCAGTGTTCAGGTACAGGCTGTCTTGATGGGTCATGTGACCTGGTGACTGGTCATGGAGTGTGTCGGATTGGTTTCCATGGTCACGACTGTGACCAGTGTTCACCTGGTTACTTCAACTACCCCGTCTGCCAGCGTAAGTCACCTTCTGGTTGGTATCTTCTGACCACAGCTGTATTTGAACTCTAACCTCCATTCAGGCTGTGGAAGGGTGCTGCAGAGCTTCACCCATACAGAGCTCCTGAGGGGGTCAGAGGACTTGGGTTTTCTAGTCTCTGTGTGTTCTGTAGACCTGGAGAAGGAGCATGGGGTCCTGGGGCTGGTCATCCAGGGATGCTCCTGGTCCCTGCCTGTGTTTTTGGTGTTTATGGACAGGATCTAAAGTTGTAGTCCTGGAGAGAAGAGGTCTGTGTTGGGAACCTCGGGAGCTCTTCTCCGCTGTGAGCACATGATGTGTTTTTGTTGGTGTCTTCAGCGTGAATGGGAGCTGAGAGGGAATTCAGCTCCTCTCTAAATACGAGGCCATTTGAGAGTGAGTGTCATTCCAGAGTGGAACCCTGAGGGATCATCTCTTCATCTCCAGTAATAATATTTATGGATTAGATCTACAGGTGACACTAGGAAACTGAAATCATGGAGCAAAAGTTCATTGATTTCAGGAATTCAGCCTAAAAGGTGAAGCTAATCTACGAGACAGACTCCTTCCATGCAGGTCCAGATGTTCCAGCCTGTAGTCGTTCTAACTGTGATGATCATGGCTTACAGCTGATGAAAACCCCGCATTCCCAGTCTCAGACCATTAGAACATAGAGGAAAGTTTCAGTATTCTAGATGGTGAATGGCCTGTATGATGCACTACATGCTAGCCACAGCTGCCCTGACCCATTCACAGGCAAGGCTGCTGTACACAGGCACCACCTTCAGGTGAGTGGCGGGCCCAAGGATACGACACCCAACCAGGATACGTGGGAAAAGATGGGTGGATGAGGTTTATGGACTAGATGATTGTTGGGACAGAAGTGATGACATCACCCTCGTGTGTTCACCTGGGTAACTGTGTGCCTGTCTGCTCAGTGTGTGGTTGCAGTGCCGTGGGCTCCCTGCCAGAGCTCTGCGACGCTGCCGGACGCTGCCTCTGCAGACCAGAGTTCCAGGGTCCTCGCTGTGAACAGTGCCGCTCTGGATTCCACTCCTATCCCAACTGTCAAGGTAATCCCAAGTCTTCCCTCTCGCCTCCCGTCAGCTCCAGAGCAACGGGACAGTCAGAGATCCGGTCCTATCCAACGTATAAAAGGATCATTCTGTATGACTGATGATGCACGGCTCTGCCTCAGACATTCTTTAGAGTCAGTCAGAGAGCAGAAGGATGTGTTCACACGTCTGGGTCAAAGGTCACAACAAGCTGCAGTGACAATCCAGCTGACTCGGTCTCAAACACAGACCCTTTTACTGTTCCTGAGGACTGATCTTGATTTATGATTGCGTTTCTAGGGCATAAACTTCCTGTTACAACATTTTATGTTTTAGAGTCACAACGTTTTTAAATGAAACAAGCAGCTGGTTGAAGCTTCATGCTTCCAGGGGGTGGGGCTTAAATCATTCCTTGTGTCCTCAGAGTGCTCCTGTGATCCACGCACCTCACTGGACACCAGCTGCACAGCGTCAGGTATCTGTCGCTGTCGGCCCAACTACAGCAGAGCATCATGTGACCAATGTGCTCAGGGTTACTATGGTTACCCGAGCTGTTCCGGTAAGTGGCTTTGTTTACTCAAGTGTTTCTCCACGTTTTTCTGAGGCCAGATCTGCAAGGTGTGTGTGTGTGTGTGTGTGTGTGTGTGTGTGTGTGTGTGCTTCAGCCTGCCAGTGTTCCCCTGAGGGCTCTCGCTACTTCACCTGTGACCAGCTAACGGGTCAGTGTGCGTGTCTGCCTGGCGTGGTGGGGCTCAGGTGTGACCAGTGTGCACATGGCTCCTATGGCTTCCCCACCTGTCAAGGTAACAGCATTTACATGAGATGCACAAAGGTCAGTTGTGTCCAGCAGCTGCTTCCAGCTTCAGCTGATCACTAAACACACTTTCACATGTCCTGCTGCTTCTAGTTAGTCTGATGCTTATAAAACCAGCTGGCTAGCTCTTACCTTCTTTGGGGTTCCACTGATCTCACACACACACACACACACACACACACACACACACGCACATTCCCACACACACACACGCACATTCCCACACACACACGTACAAACACGCACACACACACACACAGATTCACACACACATGCACACAGGCACACACACACATGCACACACACACACACACATGCACACAGGCACACATGCACACACACACACACACACAGGCACACATGCACACACACACACACACACACGGCTGATAGATGTCTTGTGGTTTACAGCTGGGACTTGTCACCCCTCTGGCTCGGTCCAGTCGGAGCTGTTACCTGCGGTGAGTTTTGTTTTCGGGTTGGCTTCTCTGAGGATTTACTTGTACTTGTGCGGTTTGTGCTTTCATGGCTGATGTTCAAACATAAAAGCTTTATTGATTGATGCAGGGTCAGTGTGAGTGTCGGGGTCACGTAGAGGGCCCAGCTTGTGACCGGTGTAAACCTCTGTACTGGAACCTGTCCCCTGATACTGCTGAAGGATGCTCCAGTAAGAACATCTGCAAACATCTGTCATGTTTCAATACTGGGAGTGCAGTGAATAATAAGTGTGTGTGTGTGTGTGTGTGTGTGTGTGTGTGTGTGTGTGTGTGTGTGTGTGTGTGTGTGTGTGTGTGTGTGTGTGTGTGTGCGTGCGTGCGTGCGTGCGTGCGTGCGTGTGTGCGTGTGTGTTCTGCAGGCTGTGAGTGCAACGTTGCAGGAACTCTAAGCTCGGTTGCAGAATGTGCTCAGGTGAGTTCATCACACCTTCCTTTGACTCCGCCTCCTTTTTGAGCCTTCAGAAGTGCACCTGTCCTATCAGAACGCTCCCAAATCCAGGAGATCATTTCAAGTGTAAAATCAAAGAAATCCTATCTTTTATATTGTAAACCAGCTGGGCAGCCATCAGAGAATCTAGATTATTACGGATTTACCTGGTGAGTGTGTTAAAAGGGATGAAACACACCAGCATCACCAGCAAATTACCCTTATCCTGCCGAAACGTGAACTAGAGATGGTGAAAAGAAGACGGTGCTCAGCTTTCAGTAAAATGTTTAGATTAACTTTAAACATTTCTTCATGATTATTTGTTGACACAGGCCTCTCCTAGAAGGTGAGGTGGAGACATTTATCCCACCTATAGAGGTGGCCAGCATGTGTTGTTTATCCTGATCTATGTGGCAAGGAAACTTCCATCATCCTCCAGGAATGCCACAACAGTCAAGTCAGTTCCGTTGTTCGGACATTTCTGGAGTGCTGCCTGCACATTTCTGCTTATTTACTAACACGTCTCTCCCTCATGGTGAAGGTGACTAGTTCACGTATACGTCTTTCTGCACATGACCAAACTCAGTCACACACACACACACACCCAGGATAGGCGTGTTTAAGCAGGACTTTCCATCACAGCTGCTGTTTGTTTCATGTTGTTGTGAGAAGCTGCAGTCATCAGGCTAACGGTCACCATATTGTTGTGTCAGGAAACGGGCCAGTGCCACTGTAAACCCGACGTGTGCAGCAGGACCTGCTCCGCCTGTAAGGACGGCTACTACAACCTGGAGCGCTACAGCTACTTCGGCTGCCAGGGTGGGTGCATATATGCAGCTATGCCCCTCGGGGCCCAGCCCACTGCTGTGATACGTGCCAACTGTGTTTATGTGGTTGTGCAGGGTGCCAGTGCGACATTGGGGGCGCCATAGGTCAGTTCTGTGCAGACCCACATGGTCAGTGTCGCTGTAGACCCAACGTGGAGGGACCCAAATGTAACCTGTAAGTCTCACACACCTGGCAGGGAGTGCTACTACACTTGTTCTGGAGTTTTCTACTGCCACCACCACCAGTACTACCTTTATTTTACTACTACTGCTACATCTCTACCACTGCTACCACCTGTACTACTACTACTACTACTACTACTACTACTACTACTACTACTACTACTTCCACTACCACTGCTACCACCTGTACTACTACTACTACTACTACTACTACTACTACTACATCCACTACCACTGCTACCACCTGTACTACTACTACTACTTCCACTACCACTGCTACCACCTGTACTACTACTACTACTACTACTACTACTACTACTACATCCACTACCACTGCTACCACCTGTACTACTACTACTACTTCCACTACCACTGCTACCACCTGTACTACTACTACTACTACTACATCCACTACTTCCACTACCACTGCTACCACCTGTACTACTACTACTACTACTACTACTACTACTACATCCACTACTTCCACTACCACTGCTACTACCTGTACTACTACTACTACTACTACTACTACTACTACATCCACTACTTCCACTACCACTGCTACTACCTGTACTACTACTACTACTACTACTACATCCACTACTTCCACTACCACTGCTACCACCTGTCCTACTACTACTACTACTACTACATCCACTACTTCCACTACCACTGCTACTACCTGTACTACTACTACTACTACTACTACATCCACTACTTCCACTACCACTGCTACCACCTGTACTACTACTACTACTACTACTACTACTACTACATCCACTACTTCCACTACCACTGTTACCACCTGTACTACTACTACTACTTCTACATCCACTACTTCCACTACCACTGCTACCACCTGTACTACTACTACTACTACTACTACTTCCATTACCACCGCTACCATCTGTACTACTACTACTACTACTAGTACTACTACTACATCCACCACCACTGCTACCACCTGTACTTCTACTACTACTACTACTACTACTTCCATTACCACCGCTACCACCTGTACTTCTACTACTACTACTACCACCACCACCACCACTCCTTCCACCAGTACTACTATTACTACTACTACCACTACTTCCATCATGAGTCTCCAGAACCTTCTATGGGTAGAGGAGAACAGCTGAACCTGGGACGGTTCCCTCATGCTTGTTGCTGTTCCACAGACCTCGTCCAGATCATTACTTCCCAGACCTCCATCATCTAAGGTTTGAGATTGAGGAAGGAACCATGCTGGATGGCCGACCGGTCCGATTTGGGTACAGCCTTCTAGAGTTTCCAGACTTCAGCTGGAGAGGTTATGCTGAGATGTCCCCCATACAGGTAGAACCTGGAGTCCAACGAGTCCCTCCAACAAATTTTTATTTAAGTAGATTGTCTGTGGATCGTCTGAGCTTGGCTCGCATGAAATAGAGTTGTCCTTTTGGTTTGTGTTTAAGCAGACATTTCTCTTTTGATATAATCAGAACCGGTTCCCTATCAATTCAGTTCAGTTTGTTTATGTAGCACCAAATCACGACCAGAGTCGTCTCACTTCACACAGTAAACACTCCAACACAGGTCAGGTCATTAAGCCAATCAGTAAAAAAGTTTCCTATATAAGGAACCCAGCAGGTTTCATCAAGTCACTGACTAGTGTCAGAGTCTTTACAGCAATCCTCATACTAAGCAAGTATGCAGCGACAGTGGAGAGGAAAACTCCCTTTTAACAGGAAGAAACCTCCAGAGAATCCTGGCTCAGTATAAGCAGCCATCCTCCACGACTCTCTGGGGATCGAGAAGACAGAGCACACACGCACACGCGCACACACACACACACACACACACACACACACACACACACACACACACACACACACACACACACACATCTGTCTTTCTATCACAGTGAGGACCCTCCATTGACTTCCATTCGTTTTTGTGATTTCACCAACCCTAACCATAACCAACGCTGATCTATGCCTAACCTTAACCTGAACTAAAACTTAATCCACACCACACCTCTAACCGGTGCAGTAAGCTTCCGGTATGCTTCTAAAAAAGTGAGGACCAAAAAATGTCCTCACTTTGTAGGGAAAATGGTCAAAATGGTCCTCAGTATGTACAAGAACACACACACACACACACACATACACACACACGCACGCACACACGCACACACACACACAAATGGCTGAACTAGTAGTAGTATTTTCTTGTTAACGAGCCTAACTGGGGGACAAAAGGGTGTAGCAGCAAAAGGCCTATAGGGCCCAAAGGGTTAAAGAAACACTTCCCTGTTACTCTGAAGGTGTTGAGTAACTTCCTGGTTGCTGTAGAACCAGGAAGTGGACCAGATATCTGGACTCTAAAGAGAAATGCCTGTTCTGGGCTGAGGATGACTCCTCTAAACTCAGATGATTTGTGTCTGGTCTCCTCCCTTCTTCACCAGCGTGTTCCCTCTCTTCTCTCACCTCCTGTTGTCTTTGTGGTTGTTATAGATGATCTGACCTGTTTTACCTTCTAGCATCACCTGACTTCTGTTTGTTATGTCCTCCCTGACTGGCTCTTCTTTTTTGTCCACCCATCCATCATCCCCTCTGCTCCGGCAGTCCAAAGTGTTGGTGTGGGTCTCTGTCAGCTCTCCAGACCTGTTCCGCGTGGTTCTGCGATATGTCAACTGGGGTGATTCTGATGTCCGGGGCAGGGTGACGGTCAAAGAGGACAGCTGGAGTCACTACTGTGGTAACTGTAAGTCCCTGGTAGAGACAGCAGGTCGTCGTGTCACCAGTGTTGCCAACTCAGCGACTTTGTCGCTGTTCCTAACGACATTTGGACCCCCTCAATGACACCCCCCACCCCCAAAAAACAGCGCCTAGCGACAAACCTAGCGACATTTCTCAGGACCCGTTTCTACTTTCTGTAGAACTTTCTTGTAGATAAGCCCCACAGATTAGCAACAAAGAAACCATTTGCACTCTGAAACATTCTTCCAGGAGTAAGGAAAGAGAACGATAATCTGCACATGTGCACGAGGACTGACCAATCATTAACCGTTTTCGGCCGGGCTGATTCGCCAAAGACAAAAATGTACAGTTGCAGAGCTGGAGACCGCGATTTCCGTCTGCTGCTGCTGCAGGCTCACGCTTTTACTAGAGACTGCTCAGGCGTCAACCTGCCATCTCTGGTTCTGCAGCCGTCATTTGGTTTTTCCGGCATTTGGCAAATAAAGTCAACGGGAGTTCAAACTACCGTCCCGTTTACACACGCAGCTCTGTGGCTCATCTGAATTTCCTTCAGTGACACAGGGATGGTTATACTATGAGACACTCGCTCCCTTTTGCTCGGTGCGCCGTTATTATGACGACGGAGAGAATACACAACAGAGAAGTTGAGAAACTATGAGGTGTAAAAAAATAAACCAGCTTTTTAGGAAAATGTCAGTGAGAATGAGGAGAGCAGGAGGTCCGAGTTCTATCCTACAACAGAACTGTTTGGATCACCACACCATATCTGTCTTAATGTCACTTATTTATACTTTTTGAATTTATTTTACATATCAAAGCAATTTGGGCCATTTTAATCATACTAATTAATAACTTTAACACATAAAATAGTTTATTTTCCTCCCTTTTAGTCCTAAAAAGACCATGTTTTTAAAATCTTATATATCTATATATATATATTACTTTTAGATTCTACGGAGAAAATGAACTCCAATGTGGCGTGATGACGTCATCAATATGTAAATTAGCATGTGGCGTCACCTGGCGACATCTGGGTGACTTTCTGGGTCAACTTCAGCTACTTTCTATCAGGGGGAGTTGGCAACACTGCGTGTCACTCCCCACTCCCACTTCCCAGCTTAGGCTGGCAGAATTGTGACTCACATCCACTTCTTATGAAAGTAGAAATCTACCGAGCTTTTCTTTACCGTGAGGTCCGCTCTAACTCTCCAGGAAGGACAGAGCCAGTGAAGACATGCTGAGACCTGGGACAGCAGAAGGCTCTCAGACCAGAGACTAGTCTGAGCCCCGTCCACACTCCCCCCCCCCCCCCCCCCACACACACACACATACGCCCAGGCTCTAGGTGCTACTCAACACATTGAACCAGTGGCCTCATTTATCAACCGTATTTATGCACGGATCTAACTAATATACTCGTTTGTAGTATTCATCATTTTGTACTTCTGAGTGGAAATGTTCCTAATATAAGAGAATCTCAGACCATGCATGTGAAAGCCTGCAGCGGTAGAACGGGCACAGGTGGGATTTATCATCAGACGGGTGCAGAGGAATGTGCGTACGAGTGGCCACCGCACGTTTCATAAACCCAGATGTTGACCGTTCGGACGAACGCTCTACGTTTAAGGAATATATTTAGGAATCATCCTCCGAGCGTTTAATGAATGAGGGCCCGGGCTTAATCAGCTTCTAGAATGGTTCAGGTCTGACCTCTGGTTTAGAAAAACAGACCGAGTTGTGTTTCTCTGTGAGGAGCTCACTAAGATTATTAAATAATCTGGTAAGTGGTTCCAGGCTGGCGTTTCCTCTCCAGTCCTGCAGACGCAGCGTGGTGGCGGCAGTGTTTCCACACGAGGTTCTGAGAAAGACTCGATAACTTTATTATGGTCTGATAAGGAAAACCCAGACTAGATGAGTTTATTATGGTCTGATAAGGAAAACCCAGAGAGGGCCTAGTCATTTCTGCTGCTGTCATGTGACCAGCGCTGGATTAGGACTTCTTTCTCTCTAATCTCTGTTTCCAGGCTCGGAACAGTCCAAACAGATCCTCTTTGCTCCCAGTGAGCAGCCGGCCTTCGTCAACGTTCCTCAGAACAACTTTGTGGAGCCGTTTGTTCTGAACCCAGGAACCTGGACTGTGACTATAGAGGCTGAGGGGATCCTGCTGGTACGTTCCACACCTCTGGGCTGTTGGGGGGGGGTCCTGCCTGTACTGTTTACTCACCAGACTGACGCGGTCATAATGCTGCAATGTTTGTAACAAAGTACTAAAGACGGACCTGATATGCGCCCCTCTCAGGACTACCTGGTGTTGCTGCCCAGTGCCTACTATGAAGCTCCCATCCTGCAGATGAGAGTCAGTGAGCCCTGCAGCTACAGCTCTGGTTCAGACGCCAGCCAAAGGTAGATACTGCTGCAGCGTCCTTATTACCACTTCATGATTGGTTAGTCATAAACATGAAGTCCAAAGCTTTGGGACTGTACTGTTTAATATAGATTGCACACAAGCAGGGGTGGACTGGGACAATAATTCAGGCCGAGGATGTTGAAACCATGCCAGGTTAGCACCTACTTCACACAAAACACTAAAAGTGAGTCAAGTTGGGCGCCTACTGATGTAAAAGTGTAAAACAACTAAATAAAAGCTTCATTTTTCTTTCCTATATAATTTAAATATGTGTGTTCTGCTGCTATAATCGGTGCTTATGTTGCATAAACTGAGATTATGTTTAATCCTGTTACTCGTGCCTCCTGCACATCAGATGAAATAGGCCAGACACCATCATCACCTGAACCTGAGACTAATGGGGGGGGGGGGGGGGGATGCTAAATGAGTGCATCATTAGTGGGATTTAGGTTTGTAACTTAGTACAGACATTAAATAAACAGCCTCGTTCAACAAGGGCACAAGCCTTTTCAGACGCACACATCTCCTTGTTCTGGATGCAAACTCCTCACTGAGGTCATGTGATGCTGTGCTGCTTCTGAGCTGAACCTATAACAGTCCGACCACGCAGATCTTCTAGTGCCGTAGATGAGCCTCGGTTTTGAGACGCTTCAGTCAGCAGCAACTAACAAGGAGAGCTCACCTCTACCTTCAGCATCGATCCTGTTGTGAGCAGGAATCCATCAGGCTAGATGAAAGTATTGTATATACTATCACAACAACTGGTGCTGTGATTATAATATGTTATAAACTGGACAGACTTGGGCCAGTATATATGGTTGTTTTCCTACATATAAACACCAATAATAACACTAGTGGTTGAAAGGCTATGAAGCAAAGACAATAGAAGCCAGAAGTTTTATGAATTTACCAAGAAACTTCATAAATGATCATCATGGCTGCTGTCAAATCTGATCCAGATCACAATTATCATCTCATCTGTCTCATGATCAGCAGCAGCTGGATGTTTATGACCACAACATTGTTTTTTTTCTCCAACATCATGCCCACTTTCAAGGGAAGCACACTACTCTTTTGACATTTAATCTCTCGTGTTTGCTCAGAATCTTCTGTTTGCCTCTCCACTCTCCTCCTCCATGGATCTACCTGTCTGTCGGCGCATTTAACCACTGGTTGGTCTGCTGCTGCTGTCAGCCATTACTGAAATGTGATTCTCTTTGTTTCTCTCCTCTGCCTGAGCTGATGGTGACGCCCAGTGCGTCTCGCGGCGGTGATGCACAAAATGCAGTCCTTCATGGAGCGCGTGCCAGATTGTGGATGACGGATGTTTGAGGACATTTTGACTAATTAATACTCTGACATTTTACCCATAAGCACTGTACCTTAGACAATTGCACTGGTCCAAAATCTCCACATTGAACCGGTTCTTCCAAAATGGTCGCAACATACAGGCCAGACTTAACATGCATCTGTGGCCAGAGCTTTCTTTTTCAACCTCTCATTTTCTGCTCTACCTTTCCTGGCCCATCCCGGTCCATTTTGCACAAAGGTAATAAAGGTAACAAAAGCAAAGCATCACCAGATACCTGCTCCTGGAATCCAACATCAATCACTTTGACGGACCCACGTTTCCCCTGCAGCCATGAAACACAGAAACCATTACATCTACAGCGGATGGACGGCAGGAGTTCGGCTTATTAAATGTGTTCAGACCATCAAAACACTCTTCACGACTCTTCAGATAGCTCTGCAGAGACCCTACAATATATGTGCGTGTGTGTCTTCTCAGAGCAGAGCAATGACATCCCAGCCATTTGAATGAGTCATGTTTTAAAAATTAAACGGAGGTCTTTCTGTTGAACATGTTCATCAAAAATCCTGGGAAAAAAGAAAAATTGGAGATGCACTTCTAATTACGTCTGCGTGCGTGCGTGCGTGCGTGCGTGTGTGTGTGTGTGTGTGTGTGTGTGAGAGAGAGAGAGAGAGCTGCCTTGCACCTTTAAGTGGAGGCTTACAGCTTTGCTTTACCATAAAGTAGTCCCTAGTCTAAAGTAGTCCCTAGTCTAAAGCAGTCCCTAGTCTCCCATAGTCCCTAGTCTAAAGTAGTCCCTAGTCTAAAGTAGTACCTAGTCTAAAGTAGTCCCTAGTCTCCCATAGTCCCTAGTCTCCCATAGTCCCTAGTCTAAAGTAGTCCCTAGTCTAAAGTAGTACGTAGTCTCCCGTAGTCCCAAGTCTAAAGTAGTCCCTAGTCTAAAGTAGTCCCTAGTCTAAAGTAGTACCTAGTCTAAAGTAGTCCCTAGTCTAAAGTAGTCCCTAGTCTAAAGTAGTACCTAGTCTAAAGTAGTCCCTAGTCTCCCTTAGGCCCCCGGGGGACACTCGCCCTACACTCAATGGAAACGGCGAGCGGCCCCGTCCCCGCGCATTACTGGCCCTGTTCGGGCCCCCGAGGGCCCCAAAAATCCGGCAGGGCTGGGGCCGCTCAGCCGGCCCCGGGGGCAACCCGGCGCTCCGGGGTCCGTGTCTCTGGGGCCCCCGGGGGCCGCGCTGCGATTTTCCAAAGTTACAATGGGGGCGTAGGGCAATTGGCACAGTACCGCCCCGATCCACCAGGGGGAGATTGGGCCAACTGAGTGGCAAAATTGTCGCAAAGCCGACTTTTGTCAGGCCAATGGCCCGACTTGTCACTTCCCCGACATTTGTACGTCAAATGGCAAATCCCTATGGCAAATGGCAAAATGTGAGGATAATGGCAACCGTTTTGACACTAGCCCGACATTTGTATGTGGAATGGCAAAAGCGTCGGGGTAATGGATCGGGCGAGGTCGGGCAAATGCAGAAAACGTGACAAACCTTTGTCCGGCAAATGGTAATTTGCCATTTCCCCTACATTTGTCTGGCAAATGGCAAATAATTGCCATTTTCCATACATTTGTCTGGCGAATGGCAAATTATTGCCATTTCCCCTACATTTGTCCATTAAATGGCAAAAAGTTGCCATTTCTCCTACATTTGTCTAGCATATGGCAGAGTATTGCCATTTCCTCTACATTTGTCTGTGAAATGGCAAATTATTGTCATTTCCCCTATATTTGTCTGGCAAATGGCAAGTCATTGCCATTTCCAATACAAAGTCTGGTCTAGGCACCCTCCATTGGCTCTCTGGCTAGCTCTCTAGAGGGGTTTCAAACACGTAAAGCGCTGTGATTGGTCCATAATGGTGGGCCAATCATAGTGCTCTGTCTGCTTAGTGAACAAATCACAGAGCTGTATCCTCTTTGTAGGCCAATCAGGGCACTCTGTATGCCTGGTGGGTGGGATGATGCAACAGAGTGAAACAAGAGTGTGTCACATTCATTGTCCAGTGGAATGCGGAGATCACTTGAAAGACAGCCGTCAATGGAGCGTGGCCAGCCTAAATAATACATTTAGTCTGTCTTGTCAGGCTACTACATTTGTCCTTCAAATGGCAATAATTTGCCATTTTCCTGACATTTGTCTGTCAAATGGCAATAAGTGCCATTTCCCCTACATTTGTTAAATGGCAAAGTAATGCCATTTGTCCTACAATTGTCTGGGTAATGGCAAAGTATTACCATTTCCCCTACATTTGTCTGTCAAATGGCAATTTGCCATTTTCCTGACATTTGTATGTCAAATGGCAATAAGTGCCATTTCCTATACATTTGTCTGTTAAATGGCAAAGTATTGCCATTTGTCCTACATTTGTCTGTCTTATGGCAAAGTATTGCCATTTGTCCTACATATGTCCGTCGAATGGGAATTTGCCAATTTCCCTACATTTGTCCGGGAAATGGCAAATAATTCCCATATCAATCAAAGGACACCTGTTTGGGTCCAGCGGTCTGCCTCAAAACAAGATACAGATGTGTGGTCTTTACAGGGACACTCTAAAAAATGCCTGCTATTTATTAAACAAGAATGGAGTCCACAAATTTAAATGGAACCCAGAAAAATGTGGTCAGACCCCTGATTTCAGCATTCGTTCGACAGCGTTGTAGTTTCTCTGTGTCCAGGAGATCTGAGTTAAGTACTGTAGAAAGGGTCTAGTTTATAGTAAAAATCCCATCCAAGTTTGATCCTGACAGCATCTTGCTAATGTGGTGAAATAAGGTCCAAAAGTTCACCTTGCATAATTTTCACTTAGCACACTTTGGACTTATTCTCGGCCTAGTTCAGGGCCATAAGGTCCATTTGTAATTGAAATGTCAAAAGTTTGCTATTTTAAAGTAGTACCTAGACTAAAGTAGTCCCTAGACTAAAGTAGTCCCTAGTCTAAAGTAGTACCTAGTCTAAAGTAGTACCTAGTCTAAAGTAGTCCCTAGTCTAAAGTAGTCCCTAGTCTAAAGTAGTCCCTAGTCTAAAGAAGTGCCTGTGATTCCTTTGTGTTGCTAATTATTTTCATTTGCAGTCAGTCTAATGATTTAGGGCACCAAGCAGAAGTGGAATCACCATGGAGTGATTTTAAAGAAGTTTTTACTCTCAATGCTAGCTGGATCCATTAACTTACTGTGTTTTATGCTAAGCTAAAGCTAGAGGAGTACAGCCGGGTCAGGAGAATGACCGGGCTGGTTACAAATTGTTGTTCCCACTTATCTAACTCTGGGAGACAAGTTTTATATGTTGTGAGGTATATCCTTTTAACTGATTTCCTGTTGAGTTTTTCTCCACAACATTTTGTTCACTATTGTTTTTTCTGATATGACTTTGACTCATCATATCAGATACATGTGTAATAAGAGGGAAATATAAATGAAGCTTAAACAGTAACAACACACACACACACACACACACACACACACACACAGACACAGCTTGGTAGGAAGTAAAAACCAAACAGGTTTAAACTTTTTTATTGGCTAAAGTCTGTATTTCCTTCCCTAAACAGCACAAGCAACTTGACTATATTCAGCAACAACACAACAGAATATTTAGATAATATTGAGGAGTAATCTGATTACATGTAGAGGACAGAAATCCAATAACTTCCTTCCATCCATCCAGCTGTCTGCTGTACCAGTATCTGTCTCTGGATTCCTTCCCTTCCATCAATGGCATCGACGCCAGCTGCCGCAGTGACAACCATCTGCCACGTCCCTGCCCGGCTGAGAAGGTCACCGCCCGTCACCCAGAAATGGCCGTCTGCAGTGGGTTTGATGTAAGAGCAGCAGCAAAGAGCTGAGATGTTCAGATGGTCCAGTGGGTAAATTAATCTATGTTCCTCTGTTTCAGATCAGCGTGGAGCTTCGCGTGCATCCCATTCCTCCAGGGGACTATGTCATGATAGTGGAATACTCCAGCGAGGAGGAGCTACCTCAGTCTCTGTCCGTTGTTGTCAACACGCCAGGAGCAAGAGCTCACCAGCACCAGGTCACCCTTCTGCACTGCAAGTACAGGTGGGGTGTCCCAACGGTTCTGCTGGCCTGCTTTCATCCTGCCAGTCCTCAGATGACAGAGTCTGTTACTGGTTTTGTCTCGTTTATCAAACTTTGCATAAATAAACAAAGAAAAAACTAATGCAATCTATAATCCAGCCTATAAAACTCTGCTTGAGCACAGCTGCTGCAGTTCCTGCTTTGTAAATCACACCTGTCCCAGAAATGTGCTCGGGTGTTTATGGATCACCTTCTACACACCCACTTTCTTCCATAAATGGGAATGCAAACTACTTTATGAGTATTGTGCATGAATGCCCCACGACCCTAAATGGGTGGATGGATGTACACGTATGTTAACCTGTCTATCTGAGGCACTTCATGGGTAACCATGACAACCGAGGTGGTGCGTGATGTAGGTACGGAAAACTTGTTTTATTGCCTTTGAGGGCTGCTGTAACGCTCTTAAGCTGCAGAGCAATCACATGAAAAAAAGAAGTGGTCAGATGGAGCCTGATAGTATCAGTAAAAGCAAGGAGGGGGTTGCTCATGAGTAATGAAGTTTGTGACTAATTACGCCCGTATAATCAAAGTTAATGCAAATTCTCTGCCTCTTTACAATTTCCCTGCTTCATGCAGCCCTCCCCCGTCGTCTCCCCCTCCCCTCCCCCTGCTGTAAACAGAAAAATGTTATTATTCATTTCTGTGGAAATGCTCACTTTTAATTCAAGTCAGTTCATTTCAGTTTATTTATAAAGCGCCAAATCACGACAAGAGTCGTCTCAAGGACCTTCACACAGTAAACACTCAAACACAGGTCAGGTCATTAAGCCATTCAGAAAAAAGTTTCCTATATAAGGAGCCCAGCAGGTTGCATCGAGTCACTGACTAGTGTCAGAGTCTTTACAGCAATCCTCATACTAAGCAAGCATGCAGCGACAGTGGACAGGAAATGTTTGTGTTTAATACTGGTGGGAAATATAACTTTTAATTATATATATATATATATATATATATATATATGTATATATATATATGTATGTATAATATATATATATGTATGTACAATATATAGGGCTGCAACAACGAATCGATAAATTCGATGAAAATCGATTACTAAAAGCGTTGGCAACGAATTGCGTCATCGATTCGTTGTGTCGCACAACTCTTCCAAAAGCGCCCCCCCTTCCCGCCCGCCGTTGCGCGCAGACCAGAGCAAGTCAGATCAGCGCGAGGGAGAGCCGCAGATCAGCGCGAGGGAGAGCCGCAGATCAGCGCGAGGGAGAGCCGCAGATCAGCGCGAGGGAGAGCCGCAGATCAGGGCGAGGGAGAGCCGCAGATCAGGGCGAGGGAGAGCCGCAGATCAGCGCGAGGGAGAGCCGCAGATCAGGGCGAGGGAGAGCCGCAGATCAGCGCGAGGGAGAGCCGGCAGACTTGCGCTGCTGCGAACCGGTTCCGCATTGTTGCACAGCGATCCAGGCAGCTGCTTCCAGCGCACGGTCCATTCTCAAAGTGGCGCAACCAAAAAACTATAATTAGCACACGATCGTTCATGTCCGCACATGTTCTCTATTTTCTGTCTTATTTGTGCCTGAAGCGCGCTACTGCGGAGCTCATCACCTGTGCTGTGGTGATGTCACCTCACGCAGCATCGAAAACGCACTCTGAGCTTTTCGGTCAGGAGATCCCTTTGATCTGCTCAAAAGTAACTGATGAGGTGAAAAGGTAAGAATCCAGGCAACAGATTTTCTGGAGAATTAAGAGGAGATGCAGGAAGATGAGAGACAGACAGGACAGGAAAATAGTTCAATAAAAACAAGAAAACAAAACAAAGTGTTGAAAAGTAAAATGTAGGTAGATTTATCTCCACTACACGTTTTTACCAGTAAAAAACAATAAGTTATACACATGTAATATTTATACATCTGATACAATTCAGATCACCTTCAAAACTCAGTCACACACCCAGGGTTTCAAGACATTTTGGGGGCCAAGGCAAAATGCCCCCCCCCCCCCCCCCCCAATAACTGGGCTCCCCAGAAGCCTCTGTGTAATTCATACCCTCTCCAGTAGTGTTAGTTATACAGTGTTTATAAAAGCCCCTCAGACATTACTGACATGTTCTAATATTATCAGATGAAAAACTAAATTATCAGACATGCTGTCTCCTCTGCTGCTTTTCTTAACTTGCAAAAAGTAACAAAACCATGTGAAAGCCACTATTTGTGGATTCTCTGAAAGTTTCCATGGAGTGTGTGACAACTTATTTTTTCATTGATCCTATCGTCTAATCTCACAGCTGAAACAAGCATCCTTAATAATCTGTGCACAGGAAGCTTACCGATGCTGTAGTAAAACAAAAGGTATAATAATTTATTATTAATAAAACCTTGTTGCAGCACTAAAGCAGAAAAATTAGATTTTGCATTAAATATGCAAAATATTTACATATGAATTGTTTTAGAGCCCTTTAATTGGCAGAATCTGATATTAATTTAGTTCTTACAAAAAATGGGTCCCAACATTGTTTGTGTGGCGTTGCCATAGTGTGATGTCATAGGCACAGATCCCCTGTCCTCTTGTTTGGAAATGGAAATATGGTCACCCTACATTACACAAACTGTCCACCCGGGCTTTTGCGCTGCACAGAGACGCTTCGCTGCCTACGACTTTGAACGTCAGTTGAGAGTCAGTCTCATGCAGACTGACCAATGAAGAGAGGGCCTCAAGTTAAGACCCTCTCCTCATTGGTCAGTCCACACGAGGTGGGTCAAAGGTTACTCTGGGCGGGTTACGTGTTGTCAGGCATTCAAGTATTGAGTATATTTACTGCATATTACAGTAAAATATTCTGTA